CCAAGTTCATATCATTTCAAAGTTCAAATATGTAGTTCTAAATAGATGAGTCTTTATGGCTTTTGTATTCCAGATTTCTAATTTTATTGCACTTCAGAGTATGTGATCTTTACAATATCAATTCCCAGAAGTTTTAAAACATCCTTGTGGCTTACTGAAACTTTTGTTTCCTATGGTCTTGAAAATAATGTGTATTTTGTAATTGCTTCTAGATTTTTATATCATCAAGCTTGTAACTTGCATTGTTCTAGTCTTCCACTGTAATAGTGAATTTGCCAGTTTTTGTCTTGTGTTTCAAAGGCTCCTGGTTTTTTATTTATTTATTCATTTATCCTTATTTTTTATTTTTCTTTATTTTGAGTTGGAGTCTCACTCTGTCGCCCAGCCTGGAGTTCAGCGGCACACTCATGGCCACCCCAGCGTCAACCTGCTGAGCTCCAGCAATCTGTTTCAGCCTTCCGAGTAGCTGGGACTACAAGCACGAGCTACCATGCCTGGCCAGTTTTTTTATTTACTAGGGATGAGGTCTAGTCAAGTTGCCCGGACTGGTCTCGAACCCACGGGCTCAGGCAATCCACTCGCCTAAGCCTCCCAAGGTGCTGGGATTACAGGCTGAGCCACCAAGCCTGGCTATTTTTATTTTTTTGAGTCAGAGTCTCACTCTGTCACCCAGGCTGGAATGCAGTGGCACGTTCACAGCCACCCCAGTGATGACCTGCTGGGCTCAGGCGATCCTTCTTCCTCAGCCTTCCAAGTAACTGGAACTACAGGCATGTGCTATCATGCCTGGCTAATTTTTTGATATATTGTAGAGACAAGGTCTCAAGTTGCCCGGGCTGGTCTTGAGCCCCTGGACTGAGGGAATCCTCTCGCCTCAGCCTCCCATAAATTTATTTTTAATATCTTCTTGGTAGACTGTTCTTTTTTCAGTAGAAACGCTTTTTTTTTGAGTTGGAGTCTCATCTGTCACCCAGACTAGAGGGCAGTGGCTGCTCCCGGCCACCGCAGCCTCGACCTGCTGGGCTCCGGCGATCCTTCCGCCTCAGCCTTCCAAGTAGCCAGAATTACAGGCATGTGCTACCGTGCCCGGCTGATTTTTTGATTTATTGTAGAGATGAAGTCTCGCCAAGTTGCCCAGGCGGGTCTCGAACCCTCGGGCTCAGGCAATCCACTCACCTCAGCCTCCCAAGGCGCGGGATTACAGGCTGAGCCACCGAGCCCGGCTTCTTCCTCTTTTTAAAGCCTTAAATTCTCTTTTGATATCGATATTACTGCATCAGTTATCTTTAGGCTATTTTCGGCAGTGTGTCTCCTCCCTTTCATCTCCATCCAACATTTCAGTGTCACTGGGCTTCGGCTTGTGTATCTTTTAGCAAACCCATCCTGAGAATCTCTAGCAAACTTAATTTGTTTACGTTTAATGCGATTACTGATATCGCTGAATTTCTAACTCAATATTTTGTATTTTCTTGGCTTAAAAAGTTTTTATCCTGAGTTGTTACATCAATCAAATATTCTTTATTCCCATTTTTCTTCTACGGGTGTGGAAGCGATATATCTGTTTTCTTAATGATTACCCTTAAAATCGAACGTGAATACTCACTAGAGTATTCTACTGGAAGAGTCCCACTCATAGTACTCTTTCCATTGTCTAGTGTATCAGCTATACTTTATTTATAAACTCACCCTTCTAAAAAGGCTGCTGTTACAGAACAAATAAATCCAATGCTTATCTACAAAGATACTTTACTGCTTTTCCATAGCACGGCTTCTTGTAATCAACTTCCTCTAAGTTCACTTTCTCTTTTTGCTAGACTGGAGTTGTTTCCAATGTAGAGTGGAGATTACTGTCTCACAGTTTATCTGAAAATGTATTTTACCAGTAGTCTTGTACCAGTAAGCTACATAGAATTCCGATCTGAAAATCAGTTTCCCTCATGATTTGAAAATACTATTCATCATGATATGCCTGCTATTCTTATTGTCCTAACTCTGAACTAATCTTTTAAATTCAGTAGCCCTTGGGCAACGCCCTCCAGTCCCCTCCCACTGTGGGAGCTTTTCTGTCCTCTCAATAAATCCTGCTTATAAATAAATAGATAGATAAACAAATAAATTCAGTAGCCCTCGAGATCTTCCTTTTGACTTTTTAATTTCTTTTTAAAAATTAGAGACATGTTCTATGTTGCCCAAGCTGATCTCTAACTCTTGGCTTCAAGCGATCCTCTCGCCTCAGCCTCCCAAAGTGCTGGGGTTACCAGCGTGTGCCATTGTGCCCGACCTTGATTTTTTTGGTCTTCCACGATCATGGTTATATCTGGGTGTTTCTGTCTTGTGCAGAACTGGGTTCCATTTGGAAGGCTCACAGTGCTTTCCAGTTTTGCAAAGAACCTCTGCTTTTTGGACCTCCCCTACTCGTATCTGAGCATCCCCCTTCTCTTAATTTCCCATCTACATTCTCCATTTCTCTGTGTTTCATGTTCAGATCTGGATTCCAATGTTTTTCACTCGTACCTAGTTGAATTGTGGTAACTTTTTCATTTTTCCATAAATTCTCTTTAGCCAGAGGATGCTAGAGGCTAGGAAGGGTAGGGGGAAGGTGGAGACAAGGAGAAATTTGGTAAGAATACAAAGTTATAGCTAGAGAGGAGGAGTAAGTGCCAGTGTTCTCTGGCACTGTGAGATAACTATAGTTAAAATAACATAGTATATAGTCTCAAATAGTTAGAAAGGGATATTGAATGTTCCCAACACAAAGACATGAGGCATGTTTGAGATGATGGATATGCTAATTATCCTGATCTGATCACAATACATTATATGTATCACATAACTATGCACCTCATAAATATGTACAATTATGTCACTTTAAAATGTTTTAAAAGGGCTGAGCACAGTGGCTTATGCTCATAGCCCCGGTACTTTGGGAGACGGAGGTGGAAAGACTGCTTGAGTCCAAGAGTGAGAGACCAGCCTAGGCAACATAGTGACACCTTGCCTCTGTAACAATTTTTACAACAATCTTGGCCAGGCATGGTGGCACATGTCTGCAGTCCCAGCTACTTGGGAGGCTGAGGCAGAAGTTACAGTGAGCTCTGATCATGCCACCGCACTCCAGCCTGGGCCACACAGAGACTCTGATTCAAAAAAACAATTGTTTGAAAAAGATGAAAGAAAACAGAAAAAGAAAAGAAATTCTGTTAAACTATTTTCTCTCTTCAGTGCAGGGCTCTCCCGCCCCTGGCCATGGCCCGGCACTGATCTGTGGCCGTTAGGACCCGGCCACACAGCAGGATGTGGGCAGCCGGCGAGAGCTTCGCCTGTGTTTACAGCTGCTCCCTTCCACGCGCACGATCACCTAAGCCGATCTCCTGCGCCATCAGTGGTGGCGTCATGTTCTTTGAGCTGCGAGTGTGAGGGGTCTAGGTTGCGTGCTTCCTCTGAGAATCTAAGGCCCTATGACCTGCGGGGGAGCTGGGGCGGTGATGCCAGCACTGGGGAGCAGCTACAACTACAGAGTGACACTAGCAGTGGGCTTTGACTGCACAGAAACCATAATGAATCAGTTGCTTGCAGGCTTGGATCAAAACCCAGCAAGTGAGTTGATGGACTTCTATTGCACAGCTGCATCTGGGGGCAGGCTTTCAAGCAGGATCTGACATTTGTTTCAGTCCACACACGGCCTGCCCATTATTCTATTTACCACTTCCACCTGCGCCTCCTTTTTTTAAAATGGGGAGTTGTATGGTTAGTTCATGACATATTACAGCGTGATAAGAATAAAGTGCACGACGAACGTTACACATTTGAATCATCCTGAAACCATACACCCCACCACAGGCTGTGGAAAAATGATCTTCCACAAACCGGTCCCTGATGCTAAAAAGGCTGAGGATCACTGCTTTAATGCTTTATTTATTTATTTATTTATTGAGTTGGAGTCTCACTCTGTCGCCCAGACTGGAGTGCAGTGGCCGCTCCCGGCCACCGCAGCCTCGACCTGCTGGGCTCCGGCGATCCTTCCGCCTCAGCCTTCCGAGTAGCCGGAATTACAGGCACGCGCTACCACGCCCGGCTGATTTTTTGATTTATTGTAGAGATGAGGTCTCGCTGCCCAGGTGGGTCTCGAACCCGCGGGCTCAGGCAATCCACTCACCTCAGCCTCCCTGCTTTAATGCTTTAAACCTAGTCTTTCAGATTCTTGCGTTTTTAGGTGTTCTTGGGTGGGGTTGGGGGTTACTAAGCTACTAGTTCACATCTGCTGATTCACCCTTGTCTGATTTTTTTTTTTTCTGAGTCAAAGTCTCACTGTCACCTAGGTTGGAGTGCAGTGGCACACTCATGGCCACTGCAGCCTCAACCTGCTGGATTCAGGTGATCCTTTTGCCTCAGCCTTCCAAGTAGCGGGAACTATAGGCACGCACCACCACACTGGGCTAATTTTTTTTTCTTTTTAATTGTAGAGATGAGGTCTCATCATGTTGTCCAGGCTGGTCTTGAACTCCTGGACTCAGGCAATCCTCCCACCTCAGCCTCCCAAAGTGTTGGGATCATAGGCATGAGCCACTGTGCCTGACCAATCTGCCTGTTTTCTAAAATGCAGAATTCTGTGTGATTGGATCTTGGAAGTGCAAGGCATGTCTGTAGCAGCCTTCCAGAACTTGAGGCACTGGGGTCCACAGGCCTTGGACTCGTTTTTACAAGCGTTTCTTGCATAACACCTAGGGTTCAGAGCAGGTATCTTCCCCAAGAGGGCCTCCCCAGACCATCTCTCTCTGCTCTGGTGACTCCCTGTACCAGGGTGCATTCCTGTCAGACTCAATTAACCGCCTCACGTCAAAACTCACTCCTCTTCAGAGGACAAACTCCTGCCTGAAGACCAGGTCACCGCTCAGTGTCATTCTCTGTGACTCGTTAGTGAAACTCAGGACACATTTTCTCGGCGGTGGTGGAGCAACTGGCACGCTGGTCAACCGACTCCCCTATCACTGTTTTTTCAGACTCATTTACGTTGCAGGCCGGGAAGGCCACATGCTCAAAGTGCTCTCTTACATTAGCGTCAAGCGCCTGACTCCAGCCCCTGCCATCATCTTTCACGTGAGTATGAACACTGCCATGGCAACACCTACCTTCAAGGTGGAAGGCCCCTCCATTTGCATGGCTAAGTGGACCTGTATTGCTGAGGCCAGTGGTTTTCAAATGACCCAGATTCCCTCATTCCTTGACGTGAAACAAGTACATAAAAAAATCCCAAGACAGTTAAATCAGTTCACCCAACTTCTCCTTTTTCTGAATGTATCCACAAAAGACACATTTGAATCTTCCAAGTTTGCGCCCTCTGTGTGTCTTACATGTGTGTATCACTGTCTGTTCTGGGTCCCTGGTAGAAAACTATATAAAAGCCCACTAGCTTACGTGGAAGGAGAAGAGGGCATTTTACCAAGTGGTTTCTGACAACCTCTCATCATGCTCTTAATGATTGAGAAGTCATGGAACCTTTGTGCAGTGAATGCCCTTTGACATCTTCTAACTGGAGTGTCTCAGTGGCGGACAGTCTTTGCTCGGGTGCAACTGTTCTGGGCATCGAGAGAACATCCACATTCTTAGCCTCAGGGCCAGGCTGCACCTGCCAGCCTCAGATGAGAGCCACTGCTGTCTATGAGTCTGCTCACTCTGAAGACAAGGAGACAGACTCAGAGAGTGGAAATGCCGGCCCAGGGCCATGCAACTCACGCAGGTCAAGGTCAAAACTGTGTTTCATAGTCGGGGCCCTTGCCTGTGAAAGAAAGTTCATAATTCTGAAGCTGGTATAATACACACACATATTCTGGTTTTTTCTTGAGTAAAACCACAGCTTAAAAGATTCAAACATTTCTCAAGTCTTTTCTGTCAGGCTGCAAAGAGGAAACAGCTGTCACAGCCAAAGTTAGGTTTCACCTCAACTGTAACAGGATGCATGGGAAGTTTCTTGATGCTCAGGTGCTTCTTCACAAGAAAAGCTGCTGTTTCAGTCTTCTGTGAAGTAAGGACAATGTGTCTGTTTGCTACTGGCCTAAGAATTCATTCTTCTTTCTAACAGGGCATCATAGCGATCATTTACATCATCCCTGGTGACATAAACTCATTAGTCAATTATTTCAGCTTTGCCGCATGGCTGTTTTATGGCCTGACAATCCTAGGACTCATTGTGATGAGGTTTACAAGGAAGGAACTGGAAAGGCCTATCAAGGTAAGTTGAGAGCCCCAGAGTCACAAATGCTTTGGTTCTTTAAATATGAATTAGATAGAAGTAACTATTTCACATATTCGGGGCATGCATTTTATTTCCATTCTGACTCTACTCTTGTCCTGAACATTGTATTTTAGAGTGGGGTTTACAGAACTGGCAAGAGATCCAGTCCTAACAGTCTGGCATCTCTCTCACATATCCTTTTCATAGATTGATGGGGACTTCTGAACTCTGGCCCCAGACCAGTGCATGCAACCCATTCCTGTGCTTGCAACCACTAGTAGTCCACACTTGCAACCTGTTTTGGGCTCCCTTCTCACTCCCTGCATGGCCAGGGTGGGACTATATACCAATGAGGAGGAAGTAGCATTTATTTTGTTTTCTTATGTCAGAGGCTTTGTTTAAAAAAACACAAAACTGTGCTAACTAGTTCTCTTGATAACAGACGTAAGAAAAGGTTAGGACAGAAACAAAGATCTGAATATCACATATTCTCATTCATAAGTGGGCCCTGAAAATTAGTCACATTAGCACAAGTGAGGGATTGGCAGTCACTGGACACTGCTTGGGAAGGGAGGGAGGAGGGCAGGGAGCACGTGACAACACAAAGTATACCTGGTCCACTACCTGAGGCAGTGAGGGCCAGTTAGAAGCCCAAACCTCACCTGCATGCAGCCTACTTCTGTAGTTAATCCTCAGCTGTACCCCACATTCCTATCAAATAATATATATATCACAAAAGGCTAGGCAAACTGCAGGCTTAAATAACCAGGACAAGAATAAGGATCATGTCTTTAGCTTTAGGATTTTGTCTGGGACCTCCGTCCGAAGGTCTTTCTGGCCCTGTATCTTGATTCCACCAAGTCTCTGGAGTCATCTGAGACGTGGAGCAGCCCATCTGCAGTTTGGCAGCTCCACTTCAGTCAGGTCATCAGGCAGGCAAAATCGCGGTAGTGGCATGGACTTCAAGCCACACAAAATCCCCCATGAAAATAGGCAGAGCCACTAGAATGGCAAAGGGAAAATCTTCTGCAGCCAACATCTTCAACACAAAGGGAGGAAATGAGGCATTGCCACCAACTCCAGACTCTGAGTGGAAGCCCCCCTGGCCTCAGGCCCCAACCGCCCCCAGAACAGGACCCAATCTGAGTGGGATTCTCAGTTGGAGGAGCTGAAGGCCCCCAGAAAGTGGAGGAGCAAGCCCTGCAAGGACCCACTGGCCACAGCCGAGGACCCCGAAATTCCCCACACAATCTCCTTTCCAGAAGGACAGAGAAACATCGAAGACAACAGCAAAAATCACAAGTGCTGGGAAGAGAAACCACTTTTGCTCCACTCCCTTATTCTTGTGCCCACCCCACCCCCTACTCACTTATTCTTTTTTGAGTTGGAGCCTCACTCTGTCGCCCAGACTGGAGGGCAGTGGCCGCTCTCGGCCACCGCAGCCTCGACCTGCTGGGCTCCGGCGATCCTTCCGCCTCAGCCTTCCGAGTAGCTAGAACTACAGGCGTGCGCTACCACACCCGGCTGATTTTTTATTTATTGTAGAGATGAGGTCTCGCCAAGTTGCCCAGGCGGGTCTCGAACCAAGGGCTCAGGCAGTCCACTCACTTCAGCCTCCCAAAGTGCGGGATTACAGGCTGAGCCACCGAGCCCGGCTCCCTACTCACTTATAAAGAACAAAAAATAATTCTGGCATCAGACTTTTCACCACCAACTGCACGCTGTAAGACAGTGGAACAACATACATAAGATATTCAAAGAAGGAAAATGTAGGCCAAATATTTTATGGCCAAACTGACCCTGAAGATTCAAGTCAACAGTTATCAGCATGAAAGAACTCAAGGCATATCATATTACATGAGACTTTCCTGAGAAATTACTTCAAGAATGGGCTTCTGAAACCAAAAAGTCATCGGCAAAAGTGAATATACTTAACTACAGAACTAAGATTAAATTATGAAAGATAACAGGTGATGGAAGGTCAGTATATGTATGCACTGGCAATATAATACAACAAAAATGGAAAGAGAAAGCATATGGAAAGTATATGCCAATTAGGGAAAGGATACTACTGCAAATTAGATGCTGGGCGTGGTGGGGAGAGCATTCCTAGCCAATTTCATTATTGCCTAGGAATAGACAATATCTAAGAAAAGAAGAGACTAAGGGTATTATAGACAACATCTAAGAAAAGAAGGGACTAAAGGTATTACATCCTTATATAATAACATAATACCCTTATATAATAATGTCATACCCTTAGTCGCTTTTAAAAATATTATTAGTTATAATATTTTAGTTACAATAGTTATGATATTGTAACTCAGAACAAAAACATATATTTCATACCTATCAAAAGATACATTTTTTTAAAAAGGAGGAATTGGGTAGTATTGCCTTGTAAAAAAAAAAAAAAAACTTAAAAAAAAGAGGAGGGAAAAACAGACCATTGTGTAAAGGACGTGTAGCTGAAGACGGGCATGGGGATACCCTTCAGAATGTCTTCCCAGTTAATGTTTTCTTGGCAGAATGCTTATTATTTTTTGTTGTTGCTATTTTTTGCTTATTAGTTTTTAATACCCTAAAACTCTATAGAATCTATTAATCTCTTAATACTCTCAGTTCCAGCTTATATTTATATGGAAAATTAGCATTTAAATCCTCAAAATGGAGCACAAATTTTTAACAAAACACGTGTGATAAAGGTTTCAAGTTGCATTCCAATCCAGCCCATGTCAGAATCATACGGATGCATATTGAGAAGTGAGTCATGCATGTCTTACATGCTGGGAGGCCATGTCATTGCATTAAGGCAACTGTTTGTTAACAACCATATTAAGTGGTCACCAGAAAATGATTTTTTAAGCAGCTTATTCTCTAAGGTAACATGTGTCATGTAATATGCTGTTTATATATATGCATTATCTGTGCTTTTTTTTGAGTTGGCATACTCATAGCCACCACAGCCTCGACCTGCTGGGCTGAGGTATTCCTTCTGCCTCAGCCTTTCAAGTAGCTGGGGCTACAGGCACGTGCCGCCACGCCTGGCTAAGTTTTTGACTTATTGTAGAGACTGGGTCTCACCAAGTTGCCCAGCTTGGTCTCGAACCCCTGGGCTCAGGCCATCCTCTTGCCTCCACCTCCCAAAGTGCTGGGATTACAGGTGGGAGCCACTGCACCTGGCCTGTATATATATGCATTTACCGTGCTTTAGTTACATTTGAAGTTTCGTATGATACATGATAATTCTTTCCACTGAAAATAAGGAAACTAGGAAGCGTTTTCCCATAGAATGTCATTCTTCAAGGGCAGAAGACTGCAGAAATATATCATAAGACAACATGAGAGAATGGAAGAGTAGAGACCAAAATTATCAATTATATGAATAAATTGGTTTATTCCATTTAAATTGGCTTAAATCAGCCATTAAAAGAAAAAGATTTTTCAGGCAGGTCTTCAAAGCTGTGAAAAATTAAAAAAAAAAGGACAGGCAAAGAAATATCAGGCAAATGAATACAAAGAAATCACTACTTAGGACAAAGGAGACTAACTGTTATGCTAAAGGATGCAATTCACAATGAAGAGATAATAGTTATGAAAATCGATTCACCAAACTGCACAGCAACCATCTTTACAAAGCAGAAGCTACAGAAATAAAAGGAGAAACGAACACATTAATTTAAATAGGTGACTTGAAAACTCTTACTTCAGACCAAGACAAATGCAGACATATCACTGATCAAAGTGATCAAAGAGCTAAAAAACCAACAAGATAGATCTTAGAGATTTACATCAAGCTCTGAATCCCAACAATAGCAAATACAGACACTTTTTAAAAGTGCATATGGAACATGTGTGAAAACCAACAACCTTTAAAATGCCACAAAGCAAACTTTGATATTTCAACAAAAATTAGAGATAATACCAACGACAACTTCAGTCTGTCATGAAACAAAACAGGAAATTAACAAAAGAAAAAAATAAAATTTGGGGGTCCAAGAGGAAATAGGACAGAAAAGTATATAAACTCCTAAAAATAGCATTAAAGAGGACACAGCTTAAATAGTGTTTTGAGGAAGTTTCATTGCATTAAATATATCCATAAAAATGAAAACAAATTACATAGGCAATTAAAAAAGCAACAGAAAGAACAAAGAAAGCCAAGAGAGAGTAGAAGTAATAAACATAAAATAACTTATGGTGTTAGAAGATAAAAAAACAGAAATGAATGAACTAGTGAATGATAAGCAATCAAGGTAACTTTTGGAAAGTTTTCCTTCTTTTTCAATGCTTTGGAATAAATTAAGCAATACTGGAATTATCTGATTTTTAGAATTTCCCAGTGATTCCAATTCTGCTAAGGTCAGTTTTAGTAAATTATATTTCCTAGAAAATTGTCCATTTAGTCTAGGTGCTCAAATTTACTTGTGAAAAAAAAATTTGTATAGTGTTGTATAAAATAGTCTAATGATTAAAAAAATATTATATTTTGGGATTATTCTCCATTTTCAATTTTTTCTGTGTTTGTGCTTTCTCCTTTTTCTTAGATTAGCTATGAGTTGTTTTATTAATTTTCAAATTATTTTTAGACTATAACATTGATAACAAACCTTATAAAGATAGCATAAAAAAGGAAAAATTAATGAACAATCTCACTTAGGAATACTGATATAAAAATCTTAAAATATTAACAAACAGAATCCAGTTACATCAAAAAGATAACATAGTATGACTAAGTCCAGTCCATGCAAATGTGGCTGAAGATTAGAAAATCCATTAATCAAAAGTTTAATTCATGGATGAATATAATTCATCACATTAATACTCCTATGGGTGAAAAAATCTGCATCACCTCCATAGATACAAAAACAAAACAAGACAAAACCACAGATAAAATTCAACACACAGTAATGATAAAAACGCAAATAGGAATTTATAGCTATTTCTTTTTCTTTTTTTTTTTGGAGTTGGAGTCTCATTCTGTCACCTGGGCTGGAGGGCAGTGGCACACTCCTGGCCACTGCAGCGTCGACCTGCTGTCTCAGGTGATCCTTCCGCCTCAGCCTTCTAAGTAGCTGGAACTACAGGCACATGCCACCATGCCCGGCTAATTTTTTGATTTATTGTAGAGATGAGGTCTTACCATGCTATTTCTTTTTTTTTTGAGGTGGAGTCTCACTCCATGCTCACAGCCACCCAAGCAGCTACCTGCTAGGCTCAGGTGATCCTTCCGCTTCAGCCTTCCAAGTAGCCGGAACTACAGGTGCGCACTACCATGCCTGGCTAATCTCTTGATTTACTGTAGAGGTGAGGTCTTGCCAAGTTGCCCAGGCTGTTCTTAAACCCGTGGGCTCAGGCAATCCCCTCACCTAGGTCTCCCAAAGTGCTGGGATTATAGGCTTGAGCCATGGCCTATAGTTATTTCTTAACATGCTATATCAACCCATATGTGCACACATACACCCAAGGCAAAAAGTAATTTTATTTGATAAGGTAGGAGGAGAGAGGCTCTTACTAAAATTAGGAAAAAGAATGCCTTCTATTGCTACTATCATTTAACATTGTTTTAAAGATATGAGCAAGACAATTAGAAGAAAGCAATTTGAAATATAAGAATAAGAAGACTTCTTAAAATCTCTAAAGCTTTCTCCTTTTAAAGATAATATAATTGCATATTTGAAAGACTCAAAGGATCAAAGAAAAAGCTACAAGAAAATATAGCAAAGTAGTAAGACATAAAATTAACACACTTTATACAAATGATACCCAGTAAAAAGAAAACGAAAGAGAAAGCCTCATTCCCCCAAATAAAGCAAAACCACAAATAACACTCTACCCACAAACTTAACAAGATGTTAGACCTCTAGGTTGGAAGACTATAAGATACTCCTTAGGCTGGATGTGGTGGATCACTTCTGTAATCCAGCGTTTTGGGAGGCTGAAGCAAGAAGATGGTCTGAACCCAGAAGTTCAAGACCAGCCTGGGCAACATGGCAAGACCTCAAAAAAATTAGCTGGGTATGGCAGCACACGCCTTTAGTCCCAGCTATGTGGAAGGCTAAGATGGAAGAATCACCTGAGCCCACTAAGCCAAGGTTGCAGTAACTGTGATTGTGCCACTGCACTCCAGCCTAGGTGACAGACAGACAACTCAAACAAAACAAAACAACTCCTGAAAGACATACAAGGTAAACTTGAACAAATGGAAACTGACACATATTCCTGGATAGGAAAAACGCAACATCATAAAGATGTCAATGTTCCAAAAGTTAGACATTTAATATAATCGCAATAAAAATACCATTTAATTTTTTTTCTGGAGTTACACAAGTTAATTAAAAAGCTCATAATGAAGAATAAACAATCAAGAATATCCTGGAAAAAACTAAAAAAGGAGAGTGTTATTAAAATATAAAGGTTCTAAAATTTAAATATTACGTTGCTGGGCAACCCCCCCCCGGGTCCCCTCCCACTGTGGGAATTTTCTGTCCTCTCAATAAATCCTGCTTAAAAAAAATTATGTCACTGATGTATTAAAAACTCATAAATTGATCTGTAAATCCAAGAATAGGGAACACTTTCCTATTCAAAATCCAGAAGTAATAAGGGATAAAAATGATAAATATACCGCCGGGCTCGGCGGCTCAGCCTGTGATCCCGTGCCTTTGGGAGGCTGAGGTGAGTGGATTGCCTGAGCCCGTGGGTTTGAGACCCGCCTGGGCAGGCGAGACCTCATCTCTACAATAAAGCAAAAAAATTAGCCGGGCATGGTAGCGTATGCCTGTAGTTCCAGCTACTTGGAAGGCTGAGGCGGAAGGATCGCCGGAGCCCAGCAGGTCGAGGCTGCGGTGGCCGGGAGGGGCCACTGCACTCCAGTCTGGGCGACAAGTGAGACTCCAACTCAAAAAAAAAAAAAAGATAAACATAACCTAATAAAAATGTCTACCTTTTTAAAAAGAGAGTTGGTACATATATAACATAAGGGGGAAAATATTTGCAAGTAATATCACAAAAAAGGGTAATATCCTTACTAAAAAGAGTTTCTAAAAATTGAGATGGGAAATGTCAACACTTGAAAGAAAAACAAAGGATTTAAAGCCAGTTCAAAGGGACAATGCAATGACACTTAAAAATGAAAACAGCCCCCCACCCCCAGCAAGCCTAACTTTGCTCCTAATAAGAGAATGAATACCTAGATTGCAATGAGAGACCATTTCTTGTGTATCGGATGGGCAGAAATCCAAAAGTTTGACCACACACTCCTCGGGTGAGGCTGAAGGGAAGTTGTCTTCTACATTGTTAATGGAATGCAAACAGTATAGCTATTGTGAGGGAAATTTGGCAAAATCTAGCAAAATTATATGCGCATGAACTCTTTAACACCCCATTTTGAGCCATCCCATTTTGAGGTAATCTACCTTAAAACTAAACTGCAAAAATATAAAATATACATGTTATTTATTGCAGCATTAATTGTAACAGCAAAATTACACAACTCAAACATCAATGAATAGGAGATTGGCTGAATGAACTATGTTGTACATCCAAACTAGAGTAGTTTGCAGCAGTTAAAAAATGGATGATGACTGAGGTGAGTGAACTGCCTGAGCCCGCGGGTTCGAAACCCGCCTGGGCAACTTGGCAAGACCTCATCTCGACAATAAATTAAAAAATTAGCCGGGTGTGGTAGCATGCGCCTGTAGTTCCAGCTACTTGGAAGGCTGAGGTGGCAGGATAGCCAGAGCCCAGCGGGTCGAGGCTGCGGTGGCCGGGAGCGGCCACTGCACTCCAGTCTGGGCGACAGAGTGAGACTCTAACTTAAAAAAAAAAAAATGGATGATTAATGCTTTTGTATATTTTGTATGGCACTATCTCTGGAATATGTTAAAGGAAAACAGATATAAAACTGTCTATTAAGTAAATTGCTTTTATGTAAGAGGAGGGGAGGATGAACATGTGGATGTGTGTTTGTGCATATGTGTGTGTTCATTCTCAAAAAGAAATGAGAGCAAGGCAAAATGAAGTTAAAAATTATATTAAAAATTAAAATTAACAAATGAAAAACAAATGGAGATAAAGAAACCTTACTCTAAAGCAAGTAGGTGACAGAACTGCACAGAGAAAATAGTTTTTAGAACTAAGCAGAGTATTTTGAATGAACCTCCCTTGTGGTTTAGAAAGAACTCCCTTCTATTGGCAGTAGTGGGAAACTGCCGGGGATGGGGTGGGGGTGGGATTGGCAGTTGAGGGAAACTCCCAGGGGAAGGAGGGGCATACCTCATCAACAAAGGTACCTGCATAATGAACATTTGTATATCTAACCCTGAATTGTACCCCACATCTTTAAAATTAAAAAAAAAAAAAAAAAAAAAAGAACTTCCTTCTATGGTTAGAAAGAACTGCAAAAAAAGTGTTAAATGTCACACTACTATAATAATTCTAGTACTGGTATGGTTATTTTGAAATTTACCATAGGATAAAAAGCAAGTAAGCAATTATGTTAAAGTCATTAGGAAACAAGATCTTCAGAAGCATAAACAAAAAGATACAAGTTTAAAGCAAAGGAAGAAAACAGCCATGCAATCTTACCTTTGAATTGGAAAACTTAGCATGAATTCATGAAATTTTTTCCCTTCTTGAAAAAAATGCTTTATCTTTGTCCTTGTAAAAGAACAATGAGTACTGCAATCACCTGGATTATGGCCTTTAAATGCCATTTCCTGTTAAAAGGAAGCCAAGTCCCTTGGAGAGATGTTAGATGAATCTGGGCCTGGCACAGCCTGCCATGCCAGAGAGACGACAAGCTTTCAAGAGCACTGGGATCATATCGTCAGGGCCCGAAGCCAGTCTGCAGGTGCTCTAGGTGGCCACTGACAGGACATGCTGAACATCGTGAAGAACGGCTACCAGGGATTGAAACTCACCACATGTGTAAGCATCCGTGAGTGGGAGTCACCTTCGGAGGTCTCGAGGGCCGACCTTATCATGCTGAAAGCGAAGAAATTCAAAGCATCAAGCATCTCCCCGGCCTCTTCCATACAAACTTCAATTTAGAATAGTCAGACAGTTGATAAAATTCTTCACTCTAGAACTTCAGACAATTAAGTCCAGGAGGAATGACAGAATTAGAGAATTACTATCGCATGACCCCTGATGGAGCCAAGGCAGCTGTCATCAGGGCACAGAGATGCTAAGACCATTTCAAGCTCTGGCCTGTTTAGCTCCCAGTGTGGGACGGAATTGGCCGCTTTGCCCGGAGCCCACAGCCGACTGACTACAAGCAGTTCCAAAGCGGGAAATCAAACAGCATGTGCCTCGACACGTATCACAAAAGGAAGCGCACTGCTCCGACCCCCAGGACTCTGCCTCAAAATCTCACTACCATCTCCTGGAGGGCATGGGAGCTGGAGAAGGTGACCCCGGGAGGAAGCAATCAGGCAAAGCTGAAATTAAACACGTGTGTAGAATAAATCATCCAACTTCCTCAACATTTCACTGACAAAATAAAAGAGGAGGGGAAGGAATGAACATGTTAAAAACGTAAAGTCCTTGTAGGAGATGCATGCTGAATATTTTACAGGTAAAATGACAAGATTTTTATATTCTAGGAAACAGAAAAAAGGTAGATTAGGTGAAACTGGCAAAAAGTGCATTAAAATATTGACATTGGAGGTGTATATGGAGCTCATAACACTTCTATCAGCTTTTTAAATGAGACATTTCGACAAGGAAATGAACGTGCCTGGCCACACCATGACCCCCTGCTGCTTTGCTTGCAGGTACCCATCGTCATCCCCATCCTGGTGACTCTCATATCCGTGTTTTTGGTCGTGGCCCCAATCATCAGTCAGCCCGCGTGGGAGTATCTCTATTGTGTCTTATTTATATTGAGTGGCCTTATATTTTACTTCCTTTTTGTCTACTACAAGTTTGGATGGGCTCAGAAAATCTCAAGTGAGTATCACAGAAGGCCTATTTGGCTATTAGCAGAGTGCAGACAGGCACAGCATCCCTCAGCCTCACCTGCCCTGATTCTGCCAAGTCCTCTCCATCACGATCTCACAGGGCTGGCAGACATCATCTTTTCAGGACACCTGGCTGCTCCCCTCAGGGGAACACTTCTGGGTCCACCTTTAATCTTTTTTGTTCCTGTCAATTACTGTAAGTAGGAAGGAAGAGCACTATTTTCTTTTGAATTATAAATACACATAAAATTTACCGTTGTTGCCACTTTTCTGTGTGCCATTTGATAGTGGTAGGTATAGTCACTATCTCAGCCCTGGAAAACCATTTTCTTTTCCCTGATATGTACCATCAACTAAAAGGCTCAGTGGCATTGCAGACACCCAGAAAGTGATGGGGTTTGGGCCCAGGCCTTCCAGTGCCAAGGGCACAGGCCTCACACTCATGCAGCAATCTTGATCCTCATCTATTTTAAGGCAATTGTTGCTTAAAAGCTTAGCTATATAAGCCACTTTCGCTTCTAAAAAGAAAGCACTTGTGCTAAAGTACATCAAAAGAGTCTCTGGATTACAACTTTTTAAAAAGCCTACAAACCAAGCCAGGTAAGCTACTTGGGAGGCTGAGGTGGGAGGATGGCTTGAGCCCAGGAGGTTGAGGCTATAGTGAGCCATGTGTACACCACTGCACCCCAGCCTGGGTGACAGAGTGCAACTCTTGTTTCAAAATAAATAAAGTTTATACATATATTCAGTGTTGCATCCTATACCGCAGATTTTAGTTGCAGGAAGCCCCATTTACAAAAGTCTTTGAGGCTTCCTGAGCATTCCTACCAGGCTGTGAGGTGACCTGTGCGGTGACCAATGCCTGTTTCCTGGCCTCCCTCTCTCCACTGTGAGTTCCCTGAAGATAAAGAACTGTCCTGGGCACAATTTAATCCTTGATCCACCAGCTTACAACAGCCACTTAATATTAAGCAAATGTGATCAATACCTGACTCTTCCTCTCCTGTTCAGTTTGCCTGAACAGGAGAGCACAAGCACCCCCTTGTGGCACACCTATGAGCTTTGTCTTTACGTACTTGCAACTTATACAAGGTAACAGAAGAGTAAAACCCAACTAGCCGGCAGGAAAGTTGGCAGGGGACTCCAGCTCAGGCAGCGGGGACCTCTGAGAGGCCTTTGTTCAGCATTGGCACTGCTAAGTCCTCTCTCAACCGCCATTTCCTCACCCATGTAATTGGGTACCATCACTCACCTGACACGGGTACTTTAACCAATAGGGAGGATTTATTTCATGCTGATCAATGGTGAAAACAAAAATGGCTGTGATTTCTTAACTAAGAACTTTTTTCTTTCTTGAAACAAATCCCTCCACCCGACCTCTTTGTTCTGATCTAGACCGTAAGCTGAGAGGGCCTGCAGGCACACTCCTATAGAAAGTCAAGGAAACTTATATGTAAGGAAAGCAGCCATGGTTCTCCATGCCTCTGAAAATGAACTTGAAATTGATGATAGCAACAAAGAGAACTCAAAAAACAAAACAAAACAAAAAACAGCAACAAAGAGTCTAGCCAGGCTAACTTGCAACCTAATGGTACAAAGTATGTCTTGTTTCTCAGCTCTAGAATATTTAGCCAAACAATCTGTATTTTAAACAGAATGCAGTCTTAGTGATGTCAGACTAAATAGTCAGCTCTCAGTCAGAGGTAGGAAATATATACACACACAATTTGGTCATATATACTTTTCCGATAGTGCAGATCCTTTGGTGGCAGATATTTAGCAGGTTCTTAACTCTTTAATAGGAAATGACTTACCCCCAAGGAGTCAATGTAGCTACCAGGATGGTTCTGATGAGCAGCAAACACCAGTCACTCTGCGTGCAGGGTCTGAGAGGTGACACGTGACCAAAGAGTGAGAACATCGCCACTGCTCGCCAACAGTCACGGGGAAGCTTTTACATCCTGTTCATCTTCCTGCACTAATTCCTGACTTCTATTCCAGAGCCTGTCACCATGTACCTTCAGATGCTAATGGAAGTTGTCCCACCAGAGGAAGATCCTGAGTAACAAGTTCTGTCCCTTGTAGCCACGTCAAAGTTGCGATGAATTTATTTTTGTAAGCAATATTTGTGGTTGTTTCTTCCTGATATTTCTTAAGAAAAAATGTATCCAGATGTTTATAATATTGTTATTTTTAGATGTCCTTAATTCTCTGGGTGGTGTTCCAGAAAGGAGAAGTTACTAGACGGAGATAGCACCTAACAGGAGGTAGATGGTGGGGGAGAGGTGGAATAAAAAATACCACTGAGACATAAGGTGGCAACTGTTTAATGAGGACACATCACACTTACTTAAATAAAGGGTATTCTTTAAGCCCAGTAATCAGTAAGATCTCTTCTTTTATATAAGATTGATGACACGTTTTCAGTGTTAAACTACAAATGTCTCCCCAGTCCACCCTTGTTTTTAGCCCCTGACGCATGTGGCAGGTCTCTGCCAGGCTGAATGGCAAGGCCCCCCTTCCTTAAGCTGACCGTTCACCCGGAACTCTTTGCAGTCTATGTGTTCAAAGGGTCACCTGTGTCGCCAGTCAGCATCACTGGCTGCTCAACAGCCTTCACAGGCATTTTAGTTAGACCAGAAAGAGTGCTGAATACGATTTTATTTTGTATTTGGCACTCAGGGAAAATGTTGTTTAAAAAATGTAAAAAGGAAGATTTCTGTGAAAACACTGAAATTTTATTGATACACTGCAAAAAAAACACATTGATACCAAAATTAAGTGTCAACAATTTTAGGAACATAGAGACAAAAGTACTTTAACATTGCATTTCAGAAATTCACCCAAAACTAGAAATCATACACAGTAACAGCAGTACCGAAAATAAAATTAGTCAGTATACTCAGGTGCATACATCAGCACACTATGTCCTACAAAACATTATTCAGAGCTTCAAATATTAGAAAATTTGCATGTCTGCAAAAAGGAATTGAGGTTTACACACACAGCCTGCCTCCTAGTATTTTCACGTAGCGGTCTGTGAGCTACACAAGAGTTAGTGCTACGTCTTCTCTGAGAGCAGCACCCCCCATGTGGATGTGGACAGCACACCCATGCAGCTTTATTACTCTATTATTTTTTGCTCTTTTACAAGAGAGGCTCAACACACTCCAGCATAAACAGCAGGGGGCGAGTGCTCCCAGGGAAGGGCAAGGACGCTGGGGAATGCCAGTGCGTGTCAGGAGGCCTGATCACCACCCCGGGCTCCACTGACTGAAGCAAGAGACGGTCACACAGGGGAACACTAAGAAGAGCTCCACAGAGGCAAAACCTCTGCCAGCTAAGACGCCAGAACTTTCTGCTTCCTGAGGAACTATTTTACCTCATGGGCCAATTTGGTGCCTGTATAAGAATCACAGAAGCCATAAGGACACGCTCCTGGCAGTGGCCCATGCTGAGGACAGTGTGAGGACAGTGACCAGATGTTGATCATGGGCAGAAAAAATGGTCTGATCCAGCAGCACTCTTGTGGGCACTCCTGGCGGCAAACCGCATGTTGTCTTCTACAGAGAAGGAAACTGAACCAGAGTGTGGTCCTAACCTAATCAGGAGATGGCTTGGCGACAAAGTTCACCCCTAGCTCAAGTGATGGTTTACACCCGGGACCTACATAAACTTGGGCATCCGGGATGAGAAGAAGAATGAAGACCTTGGGGGTCATCAACCATCATGTTCGCGCCACGCTCTTTTCCACTTCTAGGGGAAGCTGACAGACTGAGCGTGAGGAAGCACCTAGGGTTTTAAGTTTCTCCTTTCTAACTCTGTCAGTAAACAAAACCCCAAAGCATAAAGCCAGTCTCTGGGCATTCCTCCATTTAAGTCGTGATGACCATACATCCTCCTCCCAACAGCCTTGGCGACCCTTCCTGAGGAGGGTCAGAAATGTTTGCTGGGTTCATGACATCTAGATGCTCGAGGGCTACCTTGAGTGACCACACAGGACCTTCTGAGTTTCCACTAATGGTAAACCTTTGTCCCATTTGCTCAGGACTCTGCAAGTCCACAGGATTATTCAGAAAAACAGTTTCACCTCCAAAAAGTCCTGGGTCTTGCTGGTATTGCTGAGGTAATCCCATTTTTATCCTGGGACTATTTCTTCATAAGAAGTAAACTTACTGTAGTAGCTCTTAGGAACACTAAACGTATTAGTGCATGTAGATGGTTATGTCAAAGTCAAACTAACTTACTCAGAGTCGAAAGGGTTCGCTAAACAATTGCTGGGTGTACATTTCTAAGTAGGAAACCCAATTAATATCCACCGGGCTAGGTTTTCAGCCATGTACCAAACACAGGTCTAAATGAGCAAAACGGGGAGATTAACTCCAGGTAATACATTTCATCACCAAACGTCACAGGATGAGTGGGGTGGTGCGAAGTAACGTGCAGGACCGGCAAGCTGGGCTGGACGAGACCAGCATTTTAACTGTGAATTTTTTTTGGTGGAGGCAGGGTCTTACCACGTTGCCCAGTCTAGTCTCGAACTCCTGACCTCGAGCGATCCTCCCACCTCAGCCTTCCAAAGTGCTGGGATCATAGGCGTGAGCCACCACACCTGGCCAGACTGGCACTTTTTGTTTCTCTGCTTCCACCCTCTTGTGAACAGTCTTACCATCAGCCCATTTTTAAATCAACGAAGAATTTCTCATTACTGCCAATTCTAACACTGTAAGATGACACTTGGTAATCATTTATCCTTGATATGAAAAACGATTTGGCTGTGATTGCTTGCTTCTTCCTTTTCAGTCACACAGCAATATCCATACTTGTTCAGCAGCTTCTGCCAATCTTCAGTATTTAATTCACATTCTCAATCACTATCACTTTCATCATCCTCCGAAGCTGAGCTACTGTTTTCAACCACCTTTGCCACTTTGCAGGGCAGGTTTTTAGGATTTATAACTAAAAAGTTAAGTATCATAAAAAATACATTTAGTGTGGACTAATTAGCAACCTCCCCCCTTATTTTGCTCAATGCAGAACAAACCACCCAACCAACCCTTGGGTTCCAGCTTTATCTTGCAACTTATATTATATTTTCATTATTTTAAGAAGAAATGGGCAGATAAAATCTGCTTACAAAGAAATAAGTCTCCTAGGAAGAACATCTGTAAAAGTATCAAAACGTGTGTTTACAATCAAGGGTTGATCAGCACTAAAACCAAAGCATTTAACACCACAGAGAGAAAACTACTCTCCGAGGGCTTTGAGCTAACAGCCCGTTGCCACAAAGGCCAAGTCCCTGTGTGAATCGGAGGGAGGATTGTGTCCCCACCACGGCCCTCAGGGAGTGGGCGCTCCCCATCTTACCCCGGGAGAAGTGGCTGTCCTCGTCACAGTCTTCCCAGTGGTCAAAGTCAAAAGCCACGTTAGGGTTCTGTTCAGTACAACAATTTACGTTAGGCGAGCCAACGCGACACGCCCAGGGGTTTGGGCCACAGCGGCACCGCCCTCCTCACCTTCTGCCTGAGCAGGCGACGCCACGGTTCCCGCTTCTCCTTGGCAAGCGTGACTACAGGTTCGTCATTTGCAATCTCGCACTTGCAGCCAGCCTTCGTAATGCTGGCTTGAAGCTCCATGTCAGCCATGTACAGTCTGTCTCCTACCCAGGCACTAGTGTGTTCACGACAGTAAAGAAAGTCAGTCTTCTCAATGCTAGAAGTCATTTTTACTGTGTGAGACACACACAAGCCTACCTGAAAATGACTCTGTCTTTAAAATATTTACACTTGTAATCTTTCACATTCCTTATTTTTATCTTTAAGATGACGACATCATCTTTTTGGAACCATTTTACTTGTGGGTGGAAGCTACAAGGAAAGAAAAAGACGTGAACACTCACCAGTGCTTCGTCACCGGTCAAGGGACACAGACTCCCTGGCAGTGGGCAGACGTACCTTTTCAGATGTGGCTGTGCAGTTTTGCTAGTGGAAGCATCTCCAGTGTTTTCAGATAACGTTTCTGTGAAAAATAAAAGTCAAATTTTCCTACAGGTTATTCATATGCAACTCCATAATATGTGTGTGTGTGTTTGTGTGTATACTTTCTCCTTATACAACTTTTAGATGAAGAATTACTCCCATAAGAGTGTAAGTTTGATAGTAAACCTAGTATTCAGTTGCAAAGAATAATTAGAAAAAATTAAAATGCACGTCACTTAATAAAACTAACGTAATAATTTAAAACTAGCTTTTGCAGTTATTAAAAAGTGTAAAAATAACATGTTGGTGAGGCTGCAGAGAACACTTGTACACTGCTGATGGGACTGTAAGCTAGTTTATCCTTTGTGGAAAACAGTATGGCAATTTCTCAAAGAACTAAAATTCCTCCAGCAAACCCTCTTCTGGGCATATATCCAGAGGAACATAAACTTTTTGCTCGACCAAAAAGATACCTGCACATTAGCTGGGTGTAGTAGCGCCCGCCTATAGTCCCAGCTACTTGGAAGGCGGAGGCGGAAGGATCGCCGGAGCCCAGCAGGTCGAGGCTGCAGTGGCCGGGAGCGGCCACTGCACTCCAGTCTGGGTGACAGAGTGAGACTCCAACTCAAAAAATAAAATAAAAACAGACACCTGCACATATATGTTTATTACAGCGCTAATAACAAAAGACATAGAACCAACTCACATGTCCATCAAAAGGGGACAAGATAAAGAAAATGTGGCACATATACGTGATGGAATATTATGCAACCATAAAGAACAAAAACACAGCCTTTAGGGCAACATGGATGCAGCTGGAGACCATCACACTAGGTGAGCTATCATAGAAACAAACAACTGAATAACGCATGCTCCCACTCATAAGTGGGCCCCGATCACTGATCACATGAGCACTAGGGCGGGATCGACAGATGCTGGACATTCCTAGGGGAGGGAAGGAGGGAGGGAGCACGTGGCAACACACTGGGTACCCAAACTTCACCTGCATGCAACTTACTTATGTAGTAAATCCTCACTTGTATCCTATATCTCTAAAATAAAATTTTAAAAAATAGGCCGGGCATGGTGGCTCAGCCTGTAATCCCAGCACTTTGGGAGGCCGAAGCAAGAGGATTACCTGAGCCTGGGAGGTTCAAGACCAGCCTGGGTAACTTGGTGAGACCTCGTCTCTACAATAAATCACAAAAAACTAGCAGGGCATGGTGGCATGTATCCGTAGTTCCAGCTACTTGGAAGACTGAGGTAGAAGGATTGCCTAAACCCAGCAGGCCAAGGCAGCAACAGCCATGCACATGCCACTGTACTCTGGCCTGGGCAACAAGAATGAGACTCCAACTCAAAAAAATAAAAAAAATAAGTTTGATAAATATCAAAATTAAAGAATTAGGAAAGTAAAGATACTCTTTTGAAGAGGAACCATATACAATTGCTGGCCTTGAATGCAAATGTTCAGGCATCCTTGGTGCCTCTTTGCTGCTGTCTTAACCTACCAGGACCCCATGAAAGATGACTTCCAGAACAGCAGCCAATATGTCCAAAGAAATAAGGCTAAACAAGACATTTTCTAAAACAATGCAATTTAAACTCTCCAATCTAAAACACTAGAAGCTTCCATCTAAAAATATGAACAAGTTGGGCTCGGTGGCTCAGCCTATAATCCCGTGCCTTTGGAGTATGAGATGAGTGGACTGCCTGAGCCTGCGGGTTCGAGACCCACCTGGGCAACTTGGCGGAGACCTCATCTTTACAATAAATAAAAAAAAAATTAGCTGGGCGTGGTAGCGCATGCCTGTAGTTCCGGCTGCTCGGAAGGCTGAGGCGGAAGGATCACCGGAGCCCTGCAGGTCGAGGCTGCAGTGGCCGCTCCCGGTGATGGAGTGAGACTCCAACTCAAAAAAAATAAAAAAAATAAAAAATAAAAACTAAAAATATGAACAAGAATGATCCCAGTGGCTTTAACCAGAATAGCTTAAAAGTGAAGACAACCCCAATGTCTACCAATAGGCCATTAATTAATACATTGTGGCATACTCACATTACAGAATGCAACTTGACAACAAAGAAACAAACTACTGCTGAGAAACACCGATCTATTCGGTCACAGAGTGCCTGCTCGTCAACCAGCCTCAGGAAACAGTCTCCTGGTCAAAGTTGCTTAAGTGGACCAATCCAACCATGTCGAGAGCTGCTGGCGCAAAGCTGTCTCAAGCCCTTTGGAGGGACACTGAACAGACACAAACCTTAGAGAAGGGTGGCTTGGCCCTATTACGGAAGCTGATGGCCTTGATTCTGAAGACAAAGAGATGTGAAGCTGGGAGATCGATAACACAAAACTGCCACAGGACCTGAAGAAAACCCGCTGGTTCCAGGAGTGCCAGATTCCTACCCGAGGTACAGCACCCGAGTGGCCGTGCACGCACAGCGCCAACAGCCACACCTCCCGCTTCCTCGAGAAGTCCTGCCTGGGTGTGGACGTGTGCTCTGCAGAGGCCACACTGCCTCAACTGCCATGGGTCCTAAAGCCAATTCCTTGCCCAGGCCATGGGGGCGTCCTAGTCACCAACTTCTGGAGGTACAACAGACACTTTACATTTTCCAATCAAAGGGAGACACTAATAATTCAAAGCCAGAAACAAAGTCAGAAGCTAAGGCAAGAAGAGCCGTTAAGAAAGTGCACACGAGGCCGGGCTCGGTGGCTCAGCTTGTAATCCCACAGTGCTTTGGGAGGCCGAGGTGAGTGGACTGCCTGAGCCCGCGGGTTCGAGACCCGCCTGGGCAACTTGGTGAGACCTCATCTCCATAATAAATAAAAAATTAGCCGGGCATGGCGGCGCATGCCTGTAGTTCCAGCTACTTGGAAGGCTGAGGCGGAAGGATCGCCGGAGCCCAGCAGGTCGAGGCTGCGGTGGCCGGGAACGGCCACTGCACCTTAATCTGGGTGACAAAGTGAGACTCCAACTCAAAAAAAAAAAAAAGAAACTGCACACAGTGTCTTCCTCTGTCTCTTTGAACCTTAAAGGCAGGCTGGAGACAGAGTCTCTTCCAGGTGAAACACACAGTCAGGGAAGCTTATCTTTAACTTGGTCTTTCCAGGAAGGCATCAACTGCTTGGTAGTTACCCTAGACATTTCGTAGCTACCACTCCCCTGCTAAAGTCACTACACGATTGCTTATCCTTCTCTGAGAGTTATGGTGCAGGGGAGTCAGCGACCTGGCTGACCTAACTTCCACCTTTGACACCACTGATTTCCATGAAAAAATGCCAGCTATCTAATGGTAGGACTGATGGTTCTGATATCTAATGGTTCGCTGATATATATTAAATGGATCCAAGAAGCCCACCTCCCTAGGATCTGATCTGCACCTTTCTGGGAACTGAGAATGAAGGAACAGCGAGAGAGGGCAGAAGGGCTGTGGAAGGCTGAAGGTCCACCACTGAATTAGTGTATAAAATATACACTTTCCAGAGGATTTCTAAGACTTGTCAAGACTAGGAACATGACCTAACTCCATTTTATAAGACAAAGAATATCACAATTAAATTAAATGGCCACGTGAAGAGAAATTCCAGTGACAGCACGTGCTCTCCTTGTCTCTTCCCTCTTCCTCTGTGACTTTCCCCATCTTTCTTCTTTATGGCCCCTAATTCAGTGCCAGCTTCCTATAAGTGAGAAACGTCAGCGTGAAAAGTCATGCAATTAACCAGACATGACTGGCTGTCGTGTATGAATGCCAGTTCCTCTTCTTTGCTGAAATACTTTACAATAAGAGTGAGCCTAAGCCGGGCTCGGTGGCTCAGCCTGCAATCCCGCGCTTTGGGAGGCTGAGGTGAGTGGATTGCTTGAGCCCGCGGG